AAATTCTCACTCTTTTGGCTATTGCTCGGCGTGTGAGGGCAGATAGAGGGTCCGAATTGGAAATTAATTGTAGGGAATATAGCGAAATATAATCGCCATATAATAATTATTTTAATACTCATATGCTTTCCTGGTTAAAACCGCCGGAAACTCAAAAATGAAGCTGATCAAATGCACTAAAAATTTTTGATGAAAAAAATCTTATCATCTCGGATTTCGATAAAACTCATAGTGTTTATGCACAATATTGTCAGTAAAATTCTGTGAAAATTTTATGACACTTGGTCTATAGTTTTCGAGATATTCGCATTTGAAATTTTGCAGTGTTAAAAAGTACCAAAAAAAATTCTCACTCTTTTGGCTATTGCTCGGCGTGTGAGGCAGATAGAGGGTCCGAATTGGAAATTAATTGTAGGGAATATAGCGAAATATACGCCATATAATAATTATTTTAATACTCATATGCTTTCCTGGTTAAAACCGCCGGAAACTCAAAATGAAGCTGATCAAATGCACTAAAAAATTTTTTGATGAAAAAAATCTTATCATCTCGGATTTCGATAAAACTTATAGTGTTTTGCACAATATTGTTAGTAAAATTCTGTAAAAATTTATGACACTTGTTCTATTAGTTTTCGAGATATTCGCATTTGAAATTTTGCAGTGTAAAAAGTACCAAAAAAAATTCTCACTCTTTTGGCTATTGCTCGGCGTGGGTGAGGCAGATAGAGGGTCCGAATTGGAATTAATTGTAGGGAATATAGCGAAATATAACGCCATATAATAATTATTTAATACTCATATGCTTTCCTGGTTAAAACCGCCGGAAACTCAAAAATGAAGCTGATCAAATGCACTAAAAAATTTTTGATGAAAAAGTCTTATCATCTGGATTTCGATAAAACTCATAGTGTTTATGCACAATATTGTTAGTAAAATTCTGTGAAAATTTTATGACACTTGGTCTATTAGTTTTCGAGATATTCGCATTTGAATTTTGCAGTGTTAAAAAGTACCAAAAAAATTCTCACTCTTTTGACGATTGCTCGGCGTGTGAGGCAGATAGAGGGTCCGAATTGGAAATTAATTGTAGGAATATAGCGAAATATAACGCCATATAATAATTATTTTAATACTCATATGCTTTCCTGGTTTAAACCGCCGGAAACTCAAAAATGAAGCTGATCAAATACACTAAAAAATTTTTGATGAAAAAGTCTTATCATCTCGGATTTCGATAAAACTCATAGTGTTTATGCACAATATGTTAGTAAAATTCTGTGAAAATTTTATGACACTTGGTCTATTAGTTTTCGAGATATTCGCATTTGAAATTTTGCAGTGTTAAAAGTACAAAAAAAAATTCTCACTCTTTTGACGATTGCTCGGCGTGTGAGGCAGATAGAGGGTCCGAATTGGAAATTAATTGTAGGGAATATAGCGAAATATAACGCCATATAATAATTATTTTAATACTCATATGCTTTCCTGGTTAAAACACCGCCGGAAACTCAAAAATGAAGCTGATCAAATACACTAAAAAATTTTTGATGAAAAAGTCTTATCATCTCGGATTTCGATAAAACTCATAGTGTTTATGCACAATATTGTTAGTAAAATTCTGTGAAAATTTTATGACACTTGGTCTATTAGTTTTCGAGATATTCGCATTTGAAATTTTGCAGTGTTAAAAAGTACCAAAAAAAATTCTCACTCTTTTGACGATGCTCGGCGTGTGAGGCAGATAGAGGGTCCGAATTGGAAATTAATTGTAGGGAATATAGCGAAATATAACGCCATATAATATTATTTTAATACTCATATGCTTTCCTGGTTAAAACCGCCGGAAACTCAAAAATGAAGCTGATCAAATACACTAAAAAATTTTTGATGAAAAAGTCTTATCATCTCGGATTTCGATAAAACTCATAGTGTTTATGCACAATATTGTAGTAAAATTCTGTGAAAATTTTATGACACTTGGTCTATTAGTTTTCGAGATATTCGCATTTGAAATTTTGCAGTGTTAAAAAGTACCAAAAAAAAATTCTCACTCTTTTGACGATTGCTCGGCGTGTGAGGCAGATAGAGGGTCCGAATTGGAAATTAATTGTAGGGAATATAGCGAAATTAATCGCCATATAATAATTATTTTAATACTCATATGCTTTCCTGGTTAAAACCGCCGGAACTCAAAATGAAGCTGATCAAATACACTAAAAAATTTTTGATGAAAAAGTCTTATCATCTCGGATTTCGATAAAACTCATAGTGTTTATGCACAATATTGTTAGTAAAATTCTGTGAAATTTTATGACACTTGGTCTATTAGTTTTCGAGATATTCGCATTTGAAATTTTGCAGTGTTAAAAAGTACAAAAAAATTCTCACTCTTTTGACGATTGCTCGGCGTGTGAGGCAGATAGAGGGTCCGAATTGGAAATTAATTGTAGGGAATATAGCGAAATATAACGCCATATAATAATTATTTTAATACTCATATGCTTTCCTGGTTAAAACCGCCGGAAACTCAAAAATGAAGCTGATCAAATGCACTAAAAAATTTTTGATGAAAAAATCTTATCATCTGGATTTCGATAAAACTCATAGTGTTTATGCACAATATTGTCAGTAAAATTCTGTGAAAATTTTATGACACTTGGTCTATTAGTTTTCGAGATATTCGCATTTGAAATTTGCAGTGTTAAAAAGTACCAAAAAAAATTCTCACTCTTTTGGCTATTGCTCGGCGTGTGAGGCAGATAGAGGGTCCGAATTGGAAATTAATTGTAGGGAATATAGCGAAATATAACGCCATATAATAATTATTTAATACTCATATGCTTTCCTGGTTAAAACCGCCGGAAACTCAAAATGAAGCTGATCAAATGCACTAAAAAATTTTTGATGAAAAAATCTTATCATCTCTGGATTTCGATAAAACTCATAGTGTTTATGCACAATATTGTCAGTAAAATTCTGTGAAAATTTTATGACACTTGGTCTATTAGTTTTCGAGATATTCGCATTTGAAATTTTGCAGTGTTAAAAAGTACCAAAAAAAATTCTCACTCTTTTGGCTATTGCTCGGCGTGTGAGGCAGATAGAGGGTCCGAATTGGAAATTAATTGTAGGGAATATAGCGAAATATATCGCCATATAATAATTATTTTAATACTCATATGCCTTCCTGGTTAAAACCGCCGGAAACTCAAAAATGAAGCTGATCAAATGCACTAAAAAATTTTTGATGAAAAAATCTTATCATCTTGGATTTCGATAAAACTCATAGTGTTTATGCACAATATTGTCAGTAAAATTCTGTGAAAATTTTATGACACTTGGTCTATTAGTTTTCGAGATATTCGCATTTGAAAATTTGCAGTGTTAAAAAGTACAAAAAAAAATTCTCACTCTTTTGGCTATTGCTCGGCGTGTGAGGCAGATAGAGGGTCCGAATTGGAAATTAATTGTAGGGAATATAGCGAAATATATCGCCATATAATAATTATTTTAATACTCATATGCTTTCCTGGTTAAAACCGCCGGAAACTCAAAAATGAAGCTGATCAAATGCACTAAAAAATTTTTGATGAAAAAATCTTATCATCTCGGATTTCGATAAAACTTATAGTGTTTATGCACAATATTGTCAGTAAAATTCTGTAAAAATTTTATGACACTTGGTCTATTAGTTTTTGAGATATTCGCATTTGAAATTTTGCAGTGTTAAAAAGTACCAAAAAAAATTCTCACTCTTTTGGCTATTGCTCGGCGTGTGAGGCAGATAGAGGGTCCGAATTGGAAATTATTTGTAGGGAATATAGCGAAATATAACGCCATATAATAATTATTTTAATACTCATATGCTTTCCTGGTTAAAACCGCCGGAAACTCAAAAATGAAGCTGATCAAATGCACTAAAAAATTTTTGATGAAAAAGTCTTATCATCTCGGATTTCGATAAAACTTATAGTGTTTATGCACAATATTGTCAGTAAAATTCTGTAAAAATTTTATGACACTTGGTCTATTAGTTTTCGAGATATTCGCATTTGAAATTTTGCAGTGTTAAAAAGTACCAAAAAAAATTCTCACTCTTTTGGCTATTGCTCGGCGTGTGAGGCAGATAGAGGGTCCGAATTGGAAATTAATTGTAGGGAATATAGCGAAATATAACGCCATATAATAATTATTTTAATACTCATATGCTTTCCTGGTTAAAACCGCCGGAAACTCAAAAATGAAGCTGATCAAATACACTAAAAAATTTTTGATGAAAAAGTCTTATCATCTCGGATTTCGATAAAACTCATAGTGTTTATGCACAATATTGTTAGTAAAATTCTGTCAAAATTTTATGACACTTGGTCTATTAGTTAAAATCTCTATAAAATATCTGATAATTTGATGTGCATATGTCTAATGATCAGTTTTGACCGCCAAATGGCTCATTTTTTTACTTTTTCCTCCATATCTGCGAGACCGCTAGACCTACCTTCATGAAAATTTCATCGATTCTTCATCTTGTCAATACAAGTAAAATTTTTTTTGAATTATTCAAATCGGACGCTCCGTTCTCTTAAAAACTGAGTTACCGTTTTCGGTACTTTTGCCCCGTATCTTCGGAACGGCTAGACCTGCCTTCATTCCACACAAATGACGGCAAAATATATAATTCCGGAACTCGCGAGTGCAAAGGGTTAAAATTTTTAAATATATTTATTAGTCTGAAGACTTAAATAATAACAATAAATAAAACTATGTATTTTATTATGTAAAATATTATTTTTCTAGCAGATTTTTTTAATAATAATAGTATATGCATCATAATTTGGCGTAATTTATAAAATAAACAGTGGCGCACAGATAAAGGTTGATAAGACACTCATTATAATAATTATCTTAATAATGTGTTGTACATCCACTTTTATCCATATCACAAATTTCAACTGACAACATATCACTAAACAACTTATTGAATAAAAATGAATGATTACCTTTAGTTTTGATTTGTGAACCGAAACATTTTGAATTTGTTGCAATGCATTAAATGCATGCCATATGCTGACCGTTGTGTTTTTCAACAAATCGGACATAGTCGCGACGCGGACGATACTGTCAACATTGCACTGACGGCAATCGCACGTCACTCACGGCTTATTCTTATTAGTAGAAAGGCTGGTGGATGGGGACGACTCACCTTGCAATCTGAACATCAACATTCAGAAGAAAAAAATTTATTTTATGTTTTTACTAGAAAATCAAATTTGCTAATTTTATATTTTTTCGGCGTTTCAAAACATTATGAATAGTTTAATTCTGAAATTGAAACCGGTGGTACATGGCATCGTGTTTTAAGGGCAAATTGCTGGAACTTCTCGTACCAAAAATTGAAATTTTCAAAAAAGAATCAATTTGCTTTTACAACTCTGTAAAAAATTGATTTTTGACATTTTTAAAAATTGGGATCGTTCCAGTATTACGTAAGCAGATTTATTACAATTATTTACCCCCCCATTTGCAATTAATGCATTATTTTTTTTAAATATTGTAATTATTAGGTTATAATTATAATTTTAAAAATAAGAAAATAGGTTTAGGATGTAGAGATTTTACTGATATGGTATTCAACATAGAGTAATAAAATTATTATAATCTTACGAACATAACAAACTTATTTTAAATTTTTGGTACTGGCAAAGACAATGTAAGGTTGCCATTCGGTAAAAAAAATGAAAATACTACCTACGACGTAATCATCATCCAGACTCCCCTACCCCCCATGTCAACCCAAAATAAGCAAATCAATAACCCCCCGCCCTTCTATAGTGCTTACGAAATACTTGATGGCTCCTTTCTAAAAAAAATTACTTTTTAAAAAAATCGATTTTTTTACTTATTTTTTCGAAATTTTGAAGGTTTTTTCAAAGCAACCGCGATACGTAGATGCGTAGAAACGAAATATCAAAGCGCATAGGCGCCGCGTCGCAGTTTAAAAAATAAACATTGGTACGGAATCGATAGAAAAGTGAACAAAACTTGTTCTTATTATTAAAATATCTATAAAATATCTGATAATTTTATGAGCCTATTTCTTATGATCATTTTTGTCCGCCAAATGACATTTTTTTCACTTTTTTTATTGGATCGCCGAAACCGCTTGACCTGCCGTCCCAAAAATTTTATCAGTTGTTCATTTCGTCAATACAAATAAAACGTTTCTTCACTGTGTTCTCCCAAAAAATCAATTACTATTTTCGGTACTTTTGTCACGTATCTTCGAAACGGCTCGATCTGCTTCTGCCAAAAACTAATCAGCACGTCTCCTTATCAATACGAATCGAATGTTTTTTGAATTAGTCAAATCGGTTGACCCGTGTTCCCAAAATCGTCAACGAAAATTTGTATCCGCACACACACATACACACACATATATACATCCACTTTTTCTAAGGTATGCCAAAATGTTCAGAAACCTTTGAAGCTTAAAGATATGCTAAAATTTTTCGATTTTTTTGCGATTATTGTAACTTACCCTACGGGAAATTAATTATACTAATTAATATTATTCAAACTTACACAAAATATATATAGTTGTATAAGTTACATATAATTAAGTAATGAAATAAAGATATATATATATATATATATATATATATATAATTTTATAAGTAATAGCAAAATTAACATATAGTATAATCATTATTGTATAACTTAAACAAACAAAAAATTATTGTATAAGTCTTGCTACAACTATAGATAAATGTAATGGCAAAATGATGTAAATCAGAAGCCAAAAATAAATGAAAAATTTTTTTTAAAAGTTACATATATTAATATATCTAATACATTTTCTCTCACTCCACTTCATGTTCTAAAAATTCTTAAATAAAATGTGAGCTCGCCTACAGCTAATAGGACTACAGCTAATAGGACTACTAAGTTTTGATTAACATTCAAAAATTTAAATATCACAACCACAGAACAAAATATACTAATTGTAAGTATAAATTCCAACTGGCATCGTTAATTCTGATTAGAATCCAATTCCAATTCCAATTAGACTTTGGCGATTTTTATAATACAACATTCATATAATACAAAGCCAGAAACTGGTTAAGGATTCACGTTTCGCGATATATTTTATAGGGCTATTCGTTTTATTCAGAAATAGCTGAAAAATGCAAATACTTTGTCCACTTTTTCGCCAAAAATCGAGAATAGTTTTTCTTGATCAAATCGATTATTTACATTTTCGGTTTATGCAACTTGCGTTAAGATAAAGTATCACTTGCACTTAGTTTTATTTTTATACAACTATTTATTTGATGCTGGAATAGTCTCAAAATGGTATAAATGCAAGTCCTTTCAACAAATGATATCGTAATAAATGACTAAAGATTATAACGCATTACAAGTATATAAAAAATTCACAAAATTATATCACTTCTCCATGACGAGTATACTTGTCAATTACAGTTTACCGGTTAATAAATAATAAAATTATTTTATTTCATTTTATGTAATACTTTATTTCATAAAATGTAAAATATTTGTACATGCTCACTCACCAACTGGGGCCCACGCGATAAGCTAATATCATCCAATGATATGATTCATGACAATCATTAACAAGGAAACTGGTTTTGCCATCCTGACTATGAATGAGATAGTACTGTTCCAAGTGTTGACCATTTTAAAAAATGTCAACACTTCTATATTAGTTCAATGTTACTCATAGGTGATTAAATTCACAATCTTTACTACAAATTGAGATACCGATGACTATAAAAAGCGAAAGAAACAATTTTACTGCATTTAATAGTTATGTTGAAGAATTCAAGTATGGTTTGACATTGACCCATGGCTGACCAATAAATATCATTAATGATCGACCAGTGTGACTCATGATGCATAAATTGCAAAAAAAAAACTGAGAAACGTAACACTACCAACATATTATTTTAACACATTTACGTATAATATGATATAATTATGATATTTATATATTCTACATAAAATAATATATGAAAAATAGATGGTGTTGTTGATTTGATGGTGTCCTCAAAGCCATCTATTTTTCACGGCAATGTTGAAGTCATAAATATAAAAGCAATTAAATCATAAATTAAAATGCATGTAATTTGAAGAAAAAAAACGCATTAAAAATAATTTATTTACATCTTACTAATATACTAAGAGTATTTTAAGACTCTTATAAAAAAGAGGAGTGATTCCCACCGAGGGGCAATTCGTGAATTTAGGAGGGCAATTTAAAAATTTGGGTGATTTATATATTATGGTAGTTAGGTAAAACATGTAACAAAAAACCCTTATTAAATTTTAAGGTGCCCCTGTTTGGCTGGAACAGTCGCAGTTTTCCACCTTGCTTTCCTTGGATTTTCTAGAAGCAATATTCGTGACTGAGTTAGGATTTCTCTCCCAGGTTGGCCCGATTTTTTGAAAAATTTATCTCGAACTTGAATTTTTCTCATGACTTAAAAATTAAATTAAAACTACTCAACAAATATCTGAAAATAATATAAAACTACACATTATAAAAGATAATAAATGATATAAAACTGCACATTGCGAAAGACAATGTCGCGAAATGCAAAAATTCAAAGGGTTTAATTTAATTATAAAATTTAAAAATTCAGGTTTTGTTAACAGATAATTATCTTTCATTACAAAATAATAATATTCAAATAAAAAAGCAACTTAGAAAATATATTTTATTCTTTATTACATAAATTATATTACAATACTCTAATATTTTAGTTTTATATCACATTAGGTAATAATATTTACATTAATTGGAATGAAAATATGGCAAATATAATTGATAAAATATAATTTAAAATGTGAAAATAATTAAATTATAGATATATAATTACTTATATAATTTTAGATCTACATATATAAAAGGTGATATAGAATTTCAAATGCAGCAGAGCAAATGAATTCACATTAGTCATATTTATTTTGTGAGCATTTTTAATTTCGAATTGAATTAATTTAAGAATAGAAAGCCTTTAGTTTTATTTATATGTATATATATATATATATAAATATAAATATATATATTTAAAATTCCATTCAAATTTGGCTCACAAAATAAATATGAGTATATAGTTTGAAAAGCAATGCATTCTTATATATAATCTAAATAAATTTGTATAATAAAGAATTCAAAGTAAGATATTGAATAGAATATTTGTTTCATATACAAATAATTAAGTACACTTGTATTATTCACAATGAGCAGTACTAAAATGCATTGAATACAATGAATTGCAACAAACAATCTAATTGTAATACATTTGCTATTATCTGAGGCACTTTCGCTAAAGAAGCTCATCATACATTCAAATTTTGTTTCAACTACAACAGAGCTTTTAAAGATAATAAAAATACTGGTAAATATAAGTAATATTTAATGCTTATGAACTTGAGTATTTTAAGAAATATGAGAAGCAAATGCTTTGGAAATAGCTTAATATTTTTTATACTTAATACATATATACTAATCAGAATTTTAGGATATTTCATAAACTATAAGGCAACCCCTAGTAGGAACAATACTTATAAAATACTCATAAACAGTATGCAATAAAAATTGCACTTCACAATATTTCAGTTCTTTTTCCATTTCATTTTATCAAATTATTATAAAATCTATTAAATGAACAATATAAATTTTCATTTTATTAGTTCATATTTAAAATATGAACATTTACTATTAAATTTTTAGCAGCCATAATGAAACCATGCATGTGAATGGTGTGTCTTCATATACAAGAATTATATCAATTTTTATTGTATTTATAAAAATAAAATAAAATGTCGAAAAGATTAATTATGTCATATTTCGTAATAGTAAAAGATTCACTTCTGGCTGCTATAGAAGTTCATCCTGCATACATCAAAATCATAAGAAAAAACAATGTTATCAAGGCCTAATAACATCATTCTTATACGTAAGGTACAATACTTAAGGCAGAATTAAATAAATGTTTGGTGGATAATGGTGATCGAATTGCGCATATATGTGTTTAAATAAATATTAATTTCGTTTCAAACAATGACTGAAAAAA